CTGCTTCTGTCATTTATGGCTGAGGCCTCAGTGTTTCATGAAAAACCCCAGAGGGTACCTCCCTGATTATTCTTTCATGAAGGCCATGCTCTCTCCCAGGCCTCCTAATACCTAGGTCTCTTTTCTCTCTCTTCCATTATTTCCTATAGAATAGTGGGACCCAGTGATGTACTGCTTTCCTTCTGGCTAAGTGGGTCTGCTTAAACACCTCTTTTTGTAGGGCCCAGATCACTGAGGCCCATGTAATGATTCTGCCATTGTCTCCAGATTCAAGTTCTTTCACCTGACAGTCCTGTCGCTTCTACCCACTAGTTCTAACTCAAACTGCAGCCCCAGCCATCCAGTCAGATTCTTAGTGGTTTCCATGCCTTCTAGAAAATGCTCTGAGTGTCCTGCCCTATTCAGATTTAATTTTATTACCTAATGTTTATTGATCCATTTTATGTGCTTGCCTCTAGTCATTACTGCATAGACTTCAACCTCAGACCAGACCTGAGATTCTAGTATATCACTCTGTCTTCCTTACAGATACATAGAACCAGGCTGAGACTGCTTGACTCGTTCAGCCTAGGGTGCTTCAGAACTATAGCTAGAATACATGTTGGTCTGATCCCACAAATGATCCCAGATCTGTCCCATCTCCCATCTCACTGGTTCATATCCCTGACCCTTCGTCCCCATTTCCTCTGCTGCTGCCCTTAGTCAGAGCCTATGCAATTGATGCAATGAATGTTAAGGGGCCTCCTCTTTGGCCTCCTCTCCTTTGGGCACTCTCCTTGCCTCTGGGTGGATCTGCCAGACATAGGGTACAAAGCATTAGGCAGTAGTTGCCTGCTCTACCACATATATGTGACTTTAAATCCCAGCATCTTCATTCACCTGCTTCTGTGGTCTTGGTTTAATCCACTTGACTTCCGTAAGTCCAAATTTCCTCATGCAAAAATAAGAATTATGATAGTATCTGTATCAAAAGTGTTCTGTTTTGAATGTTTAATGAGATAATAATAAAGTTCAAATCCCTGACAAATGGCAAAGGCTCAGTACACGTGAACCATAGTTACATCATTCTGCCCAGAAGGAAGCCTCCAACATGCTTCCCCCTTGCCTAAGGCCCACCAGGGGCACTCAGCCCTCTCCACAACTGCTCCTGACTTTCTCTTTCACCTGATTTCCTTGTCTTCTAACTCTCTGGTCTCCTTCCTGGTCTCTTTCATTTCCTGACCTCACAGTGGAAATTAGGGAAAGGAGCAAGTGTTCTAGGGTCGGGCAGACCTGGGTTTGCTGCTCAGCTTTGTCCCACCCCAGTCCTGTGAGCTTGAGCAGGTTTTTTAAATTCTCTGGGCCTCAGTTTCCTCATCCAGAGCATGAAGATAAGGTTGTAGCGAGGATCACATGTAGGAAAAATCATCCTAAGAGGTGCTTAATGCTCTTAGCTGTGTTATTAAAGGAGTCCCTGTTCCTACTGTCCTGCCAGTCTCCCCACCTGGCCTGCCACCCTTCCTTCTATTTTTCTCAGTCCTGGGGAGCACTCCTGGCCATAAGAAAGTTTCCTTGCTCCTCTGCCTTCTTTTGGATTTGCCTTGTGGAATTCCTGTAGTGCTTTATCACTGAAGACTTAGAGAACTTTGTTTCGTACAGTTCTTTATGGTCCTCACAGTTGTTTCCAAAATCAGTACAATTAATTTGTACAACTCTAGTAGGTAGTCCAGTCTTACAGTGTAGCCTGCAGGAGGCCCTAGATCCCAATCCCAGGACTGTGATTAGGGGTGGAGGACTGGTTCGTGGTCACAAATGGAGGCCTGGAGCCAAGTCTTCTGCCCTTATGTAACCCTGCCTCTCTCCCCTGTACTGTTTTGCCCCTGAGTGACTGCCACTCACCCATCTTCAATGTCTGTTCCAGTGTTACAGTTATTTTTCTATCTGTGCCTACTTTGTCCCCACCAGGGAAGACGCAGTCTATGGCTCCCCTAGTCAAGTGCTTTTCAAGTTATTTGGCGGATATCATCAAATGCATTGAAATTTGAATTTATGTGCAAAGTCGTTGCAGGAAACTAACAATTGTATTGGCTAAGAAGGCCGAACTGGTACAGTGAAATTTTGCTCCACAGTAAGAACCTTAAAGACAGATCCTACTGTTCTACCTACTTCTTTATATTCATGCCTTGGGCTTTGATTCCTTGGATTTAGAGAGCTTGTCATTAGCTACTTCACCCTCGTGTTCTGCATTCTTGTTCTATTATATCCCAACACTAGGTTGTAATTAATCTGCTTATCCATCTGCTTTCCCCACCACCAGACTGTGAGTCCCCTAGGGACAGGTGTCATAGTCCTGTCAGTGTCTGTGGCCTGCTACCGTGCTTGGCACATAGCTAATGGAACCTGAACAAATAACCCAGAAATACCCACCTGGATTTCCCTTGTATCACCCTATGTGTGTACTTATTGCCATTCTCTTAATATGGTTCATATTATACATATTTCTTACCTCTCATACTGAATTAAGGTCAAGCTTCATGTTTTGCTCATTTCTGAACACCTCCCTAACAATCATGGGGGGAAGAAAGAGCCATAATTCTTGAGTGCCTATTTTATGCCAGTAGTGATTTCAAATATATTATCTCATTTTAAAAATAATTTAATTTAATTCTCCTAATAGGTCAATAAGATTCACATTATCATCCCTGAATTACAAAAGAGAGAGCTGAAACTCAGAGGGAAAAAAGTAATTGAATTTGGCCAAATTTATACAGCTAATAAGTGGCAATGCTTGGACTTGAATCTCTGCTGCTCTATGAACAATGCCTTCCTTTTATGGTGTCGCCTTTTGTTTGTTTTTATTTTTGGTTTGGTTTGGTTTTGAGGTTCTAGGAATGGAACCTAGGTTCTCACATACGGTAGGCAAGTGCTCTGCTGCCTTTTACTTCTTAACAGCACACAGGATAGTTGGATTCTTTATCTTAGCAGATGCCAGAAACTCTGCTGAACTGAGACTCAGATTTAAACTCATTGAGTCAAATCTGTGCAAGTCTCCTCTTCATGCTTCAGGCACACATACTGCCTGCCCCTCCCCAACGGGTTGCCTGGAAATGCTTCTGAAAACAGGTGCTGTGTGCTCACAATGCATCAGGTACAGAGCTGGAGACCAGACTTTCCGCAGTATAAGGGGACAGCAGACTGACAGTGATGGGTATTGTGATCTGTGCAATGAGGAGACAGGGGACCCAGGCTTAGTCAGCCTGGGGTAGTCTCACAAGGCTTCTGAGTACATCAGGAAGGATAATTGAAAGCCAGCCAAGCTAACCCAGAGGAGAGCACCACAGGAACAGCATATGCTGAGTCACTGAGGTCCAGAATTGCCGAAGGACAGCCTGGAATGAGGAGGTATTTCCATGGAATAGAACAGGGGGTGCAACAGGTGCTACAACTGGTCCCCTTGTGTTCACATCAGGAACCAAAGGTCACAACAAGCTGCCGGCCCTTTTCGCTGCACAAGTATGCTGTCAGTTTAGGTTGACAGCTAAGGCATTCTACCCACCTAGGAAATGAGCTAGAGAAATAGCTGGCAGCATCTCCATCTATCTTTAGGGAGGTGAGACATAAGTTTGCATTGAAATAATGAGCAAGCAATTGGGCAGACACACATAGCAGTGTCATTTGCCTGCCTTAGGATGTGGCTGTCCTCAGTAGGGCAGGAGGATGTAGCCTAGCTTTATACCCATACTCTCGCTGTGCTCCAGGAGCAGGAGGCCCAGAGGGTAACAATGGCAATGGTCTAAATGGGACCAAAGCCTATTTGGAATCCTTTTTGTAGATGGTGGGATGGAGTAAAGCATTCTATCCACACTGGGCCACAGATTGGCATAGCGAAAATGTTAATTGGATTTACCCAATTCAAATTTTTCCCTTTGCTGTGCCTGAAAATGTTCTTTAACTTGAGACTCTGTAAAACCAAAGGATGGCTGAAAACTGAGTAAATCCTGCAATGAACTGTATGCAACTTAGTCAATAAGAAATATGGGTGGATCTATAGTCACTGCATATAAAAACAAGTCCAGTATGGTGCTGGTGTTTACTTTGACAAAATCTTCAAGGCAGATTCTATCTTGGTCATGCCTGGGTCTTACCCTGTTCTCCCATGTTCTCTGATTATATCTCACTACTGCCACCATCCCACATGTCATCACCAAACCACTGTGGCCTAGTCCCTTCCACATATCCAAGCTGGCTGCCCCACCCTGAGAGTGTGGCGAGGCTCTCTGCCCCTCACAGTGGGTTGTACATAAAAGTCAGCTGAAGCCAGCCATGTGTAGTGCGAGAACTGCCTGAGCCTGTGGCCCACACGCCCCTTAGTTTTTGCTGTTTGCTTACCTCCCAGCTCTCCATTCCAATTTTGCTTCCTCTAACGCATTCTTCACACTGCTGCCTGGGTGATTTATCTAAAATTCAAATGCAATCATGTCACTTCCCTGCTCAGAACCCTTCAGTGGCTTTCAGATCCTTTCAAATACCAACCAAACTTCTGAAGCATTTAGAGCCCGGCCACTCACGAGCAGGCTCCTCGCCACCTCCCTGGCATCATCCCCTAACTCCCCTTGACAGCTTGTGACACAGCAATGCTGAGTTACTGATGACTCAAGCCCACAGTATTATTTGTTTCTGAGGCTGCCAGAAATGGTATTCCTTCCAAGTTAAACCTTACAGATCTGATCAGCCTCTAAAACTTCTCTCATTTGTCCCCTTCTCGGAGACCCTCGAAGACCAAAGGCACGCGTAGGCTGCCCCTGTGTATTGTTCAGGCACCTGCTGCTCGCAAGGCTGCACATTCCTGACACTTGTTAATAGAGGCCCTGCATTATCACTGAATAACGCTGGGCCTCAGACAGAAGAGCTTCTTGCTCCTGGTTGATCCATTGTCCGGTTGTTCCTCCTCTCCATTCTGTAAGGAGCTTATGCTTCAGCCACAGCTCCACTGATACCTGCCTTTTGATTCACTCTCCCAGGTCGGGCCAATCACTGGTCTGCGATCATTGGTGGATCCCACTCCAAGAATTATGTGCTGTGGGAGTATGGAGGATACGCCAGTGAGGGCGTCAAACAAGTTGCAGAATTGGGCTCACCAGTGAAAATGGAGGAAGAAATTCGACAACAGGTAAGAACGAAATTGGAAAATAACCAGAACCCAGAAACACCAGCAGAGGTACCAAATAAGTTTCAGGATTGGACCCACCAGTGAAAATGCAGGGAAAAATTCAACAACAGGAATTAATGGCCATAGAGTAACCAAAACCCAGAAATGCAGTCAAAAACATCCCTTGGGTTTATTTTCCAGGATCTTGAAACTTGCAGTGCATTGTTGTGGGAGAAAATCTGTTTGCTGAGTTTGAGGGCTTTCTGTCAAGTAGAGCATGGGACACAAATGCCCCTTGTGATGTCTCAGATTTTTTTTTTTTTACTAGATTCACGTGTTCTTTGACTTAGGCTAAATGCTGCTGCTGCTGCCACCCTGTTGTTAGAATGCCATGCCTCTTGTCTCCTGAGAGTTGATGCAGTGATTTATGGTTTTCTTACTATAATCCTTGGGGATGGAGAGTGATACTCAATCTGTCTAAGCCAAATTGCCATTTCTAAAAGTTACCATTTGTATATTGGCACACGCTTTTTGCAACTCTGTCTTGGCTGTTTGATAGATCAACCAGTCATTAGTCATTATCACCATGGGGGGAAGCATCCTGTGTGCGCCATGTCTTGTGGGACCAGGAGCCGTCCCGTTGTCTAAACTCCACACCACTGATGGATAGGGGAGGAAAGGCCCATCCTTCTTGTCAATTTGTTTGGCTGATGGTGTCATTGTCCCTCATCAAAAGCCCGATTTGGTTGGCACCAGCGAGACCACTGAGAGGATCTTGGAAGAAGAGCTGCAGGTCCTCAGTGGTGGTCTGCTGTAGAGAGGCCCCTACCTGGCATCAGCTGTCACTAACCACAAAAGCCCCTCTGGCCTGACAGAGCTCAAGGCAGCCAGACCTCATTGCCCCCTAGGTGTTCTGAAGGGAGAAGAAGCCTGTGCGTGGGGTGTGCTCCTGTCACAGCCCTCCTTGTGCTTCTGTCCCACATCTCCTGAGATGATGGAGACCAGATACATGGCTGCCCCAGTGTCCTGCTGTGTGTGCTGAGGGACTTGATCAGTATGACAGCCCCCAGGGCTTTGGACCCCAGTGCCACCTGGACTCTAAGCTCCTTCACATCTTACTAAAGTGAAGGCAGCAAAAGTCACCTTGATCCCTGAGGAATCCTTGGGATCATAGTTGGAAAAATATGTCCAAGAACAAGCTTATGTTTCTTACTAATTTCATTTCAAATCTTTTCTGGAAAAAGCAAATTTCTGACCCAATGTTTTAAGATGTGCTATCTAACTACTCGTTTAGCCAGCTAACTACCCTATTCCCCTGACACTGACTGCCATGCCTCGTCAGTGACGTCACTTCCTCCAGCCACAGCAGTCATGGGGGCGCCACATTGGTGTTAGTCTGCCCGGGCTGCCCTCATCCTCAGGGTCCACATTCCTGATTCTCAGACGTGGAATTGTGACCCATGGGCTTATCTGGCTCTGTGCTGTGGGATGTTGAAAGCCATTTATTACCAGTAATAGTTGAGAAATGAGAGTTTGCAAATAAACTTGATCAAGATCATCGGCATCTTCATAATAATGCCAGTGTAGCTTGTTGGCTTTCTTGAGAGGTCTCCAGAGAGAAGCATGCAGAAATCATGTAAAATTGGGATTGTACTGTACCAGTGAGCATTGCCTGTCATATAGCACAACAATATAGTAGTTGCCAACTCATGGATGAGACCCCAGCCTTCCAATGTCCCTCTTAGGACTATGTCCTTTTTACCAGAATGCCTGGGATTGTGCCAATTTCTGCCTATCTCAGCTGGCTCATGTTCCTGACATAAAGTCATCATAATAAGCTTAACTATGGATTCTGCACACAGAAAAGAGCATATGTCAGCATCTGTTGCCACCCTTCCAGCCCTCTGGGTGCTGGACACCTATTGTTAGCTCCCCTCACGTTAGGGCTGAGAGGGCCATTGTATTATTACCCCAGTTCTGTGGATAAAGAAACCAGGGTATGATCATCGCAGAAAATCCAGGATTTCAGCCCAAGTCTGTCTGGCTCCAAGACACATATACAGTGCACTATCTTCACTGAAAATGTAGAATTTGCCCGGCCCAGTGCAGACCTTGAGCCCTTTGTTCAAAACTTATAAAAAATTTCAACATGGTGATGGTATGAATTTTACAGCATGCGAACCCGTGAGACTGCACAGCCCACAAATCTAGCTGTGCCTATGCGCCCTTCCTGACCCACACTGCTGCCCTACAAAGACCTTCGTCTCATCAGCCTCACAATGGGGACCCTGCAAGCAGCACTCTCAGCTCTGCAAATGTCAGTCAGAGAGGAATTTCAAGGTCCCTTTACGTCCAATCCATCCACAGCTCTAAATATTGTTCCCTGCAAGCACACAACTTATACTTTTCTGCGGGTCAGGTAAGAAACAACATGAAAGGGAACACAAATACGAATCCTCCTAGAAAATAAAAGTGTCTCTGAATAACTAGGGGACTTGTTTGAAAACATCTACAAACTAGCACCGTTCTCAGCCCTTAATACCTTATATCCTTCCCATCACTCTGTCAAAGAACAGGAGCCAACCATGATGAAAATAAAAAGCCCTCCCCTCCGACGAAAGACATTTAAATGATTGCCAGCATTCCCTTATTATAGACTTTTCTCTCATGGCAAGTTTTAAGGGCCTTAAAAACCACAATAGGCATTGTTGGAGGTAAATTTTATGCTAATGGATTTCAAACACAGATGAATACAAATACTGATCCCATTAGTAGTGGAAAATTATAATACCATTGAATAGAAATTTTCATGTTACTAGAAGTGCAAAGCACTAAGAAAATTTATGAAAAATGAGGGCACAGTTATTGGCGGTAAGATGCCAGTGGCTAGAGAGAGGGGGGAGAGGCCTGATAGTCACTCTCTCTTGGGGAAACAGAGGCGGATGCTTCCTGGAGAACCTGGGGGTAAGAAACAGAGCTGTTGCCAGCCTGGCAAGTTATGGATAGGTAATGCAAGAAGGGAGGAGGCAGGAGTAGGGGGTGGTAGATCACATATGTAGGTCAAGGTGTGAATAGAAGGTGGATTGATGCATCCTTGTTGCTGTGAAAACGTTCATCCCACTAAGACCACTTGTTCTTTAGCAAGCACACACTTAGAGTATGTTTACTAGGTGTCTGGTTGGGTCTGGCCCAAAAATAGTGCCCCATTCACCCAGTTATTCATGCTAGAAGCCTAGGTGATCTTTGATTTTCCCTATGTGCCCTCCCTTCCCTTTTAAATCCATCCAGCTCAATCTGCCTTCATCCCCACCTGCCTGCCCTTCTAACCACACTAACCTCTGGCCTAAATTGCTACATCAGCCCGCTGACCTCCCTGCCCCCAATCTTCTTCCTGTTATCCTCACTGCCCCAGGGCCATCTTGATAAAACACTAATCGGGTCGCACCATTCCCCACATGCAACTGCTCCTCTCTGACCCCCAGATAAAAATCCACATCCTGTACATGTTCTCTCAGCTGAGAATATCTTCAACTGATAAGCTCCTACTCATCTTTCAGGACTGTGACAGTCCTGGAATTTGCCATTCCAAACTTTGATACCAGTTGTACCATTTGGTACCAAGACCTCTCTTCCTGGTCCTTTCAGCTAGTAGCTGCTAGGGTGTCTCATGCCTTAGCTCCAATGTTAGCTCCTCTGGGGAGGCGGGGTCGGGCCTGCTTTCTCTGGACTCTGGCAGTTCTTGTGCTGTCCCTCTCCTAGGCTGACTCATCACAGCTCGTCTCCTCCGTCTCCACTAGACTGTGCATCTCTCAGAAACAGCCACCTTGTTGGTTTTCCTCACTGCGGGAGATTTCCAAACCCACTTCTGCTGCTTTTCATGCTATTCTGTTCATTATTGTGGCTGCTTTACCTCCTAAATAATTTAAAATATGTCCAGTTGTCTCTTTCAGATCATTCTAGTGCCACTGGGTCTTAAGGACTTCTTCTTGTTTTCATTGACACCCCCCCCACTCGATTTGAATTGTTTGTTCATCTTCAGCTGGTCTTTCTTTTCTCCTGTGGGAAAACACTCTGGTGATGGTGCCTTCACAGAATGACTCTTTTTTTTCCCTGGTTTCACCTGAGCTTTTGTCAGCTCTCAGCCTGGGGTCATCTACAGAACAGCTAGTGGATGCTCAGACTGTACTCCCTCGTGGGTGAGGCTGCAGGTCCACTGAATGAAGGGCACCTGGGCAGAGGCTCGTCTTCCTTGCTATGTCCTCAAATAATCAGGGAGGGATTTCTTGTGCCATTCCTAAACACAGCTGTCCTTCAGAGCACCCAGTTTCGTGCCAAGACACTTTCCCCATGTGTCATTTCCCACAACTCAAGATGTCTCTTCTCCCCATTCAGGGCTCAGGAACTTTCCTCTCCAGCACTGGGCCCAGATCCTAGGCCAGGACCATGACAGCTCACGCTATACACCAGCTCCTGCCTACTGTTGTGGTGGGAATTTTGTCCTCATTTCTGGAACCTAGGCAATTGCATAGTTTTAGAAATGTGTTTTGTTATATTCTGTCCAGTGCTTCTATGAGTATGTAGCAGAAAGGAGAACCTTTTGCTTTAGCTCCCTCCTCCGTTGCCCAGGTGTCAACTGAACATCTCCCGCACCTAACGTCTGAATTGGTTTTATCAGAAAGGGAGCCATGAATGTCTCATCCAAAAAGCTATGAGCTTTGACTCTCCACCTAATCATGAAAATGCACTACAGAAACGACTTCAGCTTTCACATCTCTCTGAGTTCCAGGCTGCCCAGACCATATGAGGGCAGTAATTACGGGCATTGATTGGTTCATCTTCAGAAGGCCCTGGGTGGGTGGATGGCTTCGGCCCGCCAGCAGAATTTTCAGGCCACCTGTGGCAGGAAAATCAATAAACAAGCAGGTGTTCTTTTTCCTTTAGTGTTAAATCTGTGTATTTGGTTGTAGGACCTACAAGAAAGGATTTAAGAATTTTCTCTTCTTTTCTCCTTAAAATCTTTG